AAACATGGGCTACATTAAGGGAAATATCATTCATGTTACAATAGGATCCTCACTTGATGGCAAAGCATACAGTTAAAGAAGAACTATAGACAATACTTTTTTCATTTTGGATAGTGTAAGGAAGGATTATACCCCCCTATCAATCTTTTTTTTTTTTTTTTTTTTCTGTCCCCCATTGGGGAGATTTTTTGTTCATTTCCAGTCCCATAGCCAAAACAGGAAGTGCAAGGAAATCACTGCAAATTAAGAAAATCTCTTAGGGCCCCCCAGGTCACCAGAATTAATGTGCCCCCATCAAAAGATTTTCCCCCATTACTGTTCTGGAGACAGCCCAAAATTTGGGATTGACAGGACAAATAGAGAGGGTGAATCTTCCTAATAGGGTTGGAGGTAGCAATAAAAACCGGACAGGTATTCCAATCCATCTCCACTCTATCCAAAACTAAAAAAAAAATTTTTTGCCTTTTTGGTATACCTTAAATTGGTAGTAAACTGTTTATAACAGAAAAGACACTAGAGGCCTCTTCTGTCATAAATGTCCTCCTGTCTGTCAGCAGGTAATGCGATCTAAGCCGCGCATGCGCAGCTCAGACCACATTCACAGCCCGCTCTGCCTGCCACTGCAGTGTGACTCCCATGCACAGGATTGATGTCACCGCACCCTGGCCAGTCAAGCAGCCAAGGATTCGGAACCCAGAAATAGGACAGGGTTAACATGGAGGCACTCAGGACTCTTTGGGAGCCGTAAGAGTCCAGCGTTAGAGGTCTTTGTAGGCAAGTCTCTCATAATGTACTAGTATGCATTGCATATTAGTATATTATGGCCTAAACCTGCAGTTTCTCATAAAGACTTTAATTACCGCTTTAATTAAAGTCTTTATGTCATCAGGGTCAAGTATCACATAATCTTGTTTTTCTTAATTAGTCAAAATACAGGTGTAGATATTCATTCATGGGTGGGGTTTACCAATGACTGGAATTTCTGTTAACTGATTCCACCTGCAGAAAATTATCCGTGTTCTTCCTGACAAGGTTCTGTAATTGTACTAAACAATGGAACTAGGAAGGGGAACTGCTATTTTTGTCTACAGGGAGTGTTCAGGAGCATTTGGGAAATTCCATTTAAACTACACACGGTTTTGTAATGACAAGTTAACGTCATACTAAACCTTATTTCAGAAGAGGTCTACACATACCAATTATGTGTAGTCCTCTTCTTCTAAAATGGCTGTGTGAGTCCATAGGCAAACACAGTGCTGACAAGCCATGTCCATGCCCCCTCCTCTATACAATTTTGATGGTTGCTGGAGCCTATCGCTACACTGCCCTCAGTGTCTCCTGAGAATTCAGGAAGTTTGAAGAGTGACGCCAATTAATCCTGCACCTGACAGAGGTGACAAGGTATGTTTTTGGGGGTGGGAGGTAGTAAAAGTATTGGGGCATATTTTTACTTTAATGCTGCAAATGCATTAATGTGAAAAATGGATGCCTTTAATACTACTATAGCTCATATAGTAGGTGTCAGACAAAACTTTGCCTTTTTTTTGGGGGGGGGGGGGGTCATTTTGGATAGAGTGATTTTATTCATTTTAGTCATTTATATTCTGCTATCTGGGTCTCTATTGAAGAGACTGTCTCTTACTACTTTTTCCAATGACATTGGTTTCTCCAGACAGAGAGGGAGGGTAAATCTCAGAGTAACACTGAAATTTAAAGAACATTTTCAAAAGAAAGCTATAACCCCCACCATCTTCATAATGCTGTCTGTCATTGTTATAGATTATCTCTCACTTTCTTTATGATGAAGCCATTGTCACCTGGACAGTGTGGGGAAATCTCTGTAATCTCAGGTGGCAATAAAATCTGACAGGTTCTAATTGTTCCCTCTAAAACTAAAAATAATACAAAAAAGGGTTTTGGTAGAACATACATTTAAACATCTGCTTGTTTACATTTTTAGGGCTTCTATGCCACTTTGCACAAGGGAACTGGTATTCCTTGCTTTCTCTGATATTCTACAGCTCTACTAACATGGTATTGTATAGTCATATAAAGTGCTGTGAAAAAGTATTTGCCCCCTTCCTGATTATCATTATCTTTTCATATTTGTCACACTTAAATGTGGGCAAAGAACAGTGATTTGCCATAATCCATAGAAATAAATTAGTCTGTAATATACTTGAAATCTAAACATGGCTATCTGACTTTTACTGGCTCCTGCCAATTTTAACTGTTTGCAAATGTACTGTACTGAAGTGCAAAAAAAGCCATAAGATTTTCCTATGTGTTATGGTGTTATTTTTTAAGAAGTGTAACAAAAGATTGTCCTGGTTACCACATGGGGCAGAAGAATAATTACTTCATTGTACATTACAGGACACAGGATCATAGAGTCGTAGACCATGGATAATGTAGCTGCCGTCAGGTGATTGGACAGTGACAAACAAAGCTGTAATAACAGCCCTGTCCTGTTGAGGATGCTCCTGTTTTCAGGGACCCTGTGGACAAATGGTTAGAAACCTTCTTTAAAGGGTTAGTTCACCTTTAAGAAAAATTGCCTATGCAAGCAAGATGTGCCTTTAGAATAAAACAAATGGTGCACCTTTGACCAAAGTTAAATAATGCCCTTGCTATACAGTGGATATAAAAAGTCTACACACGCCTGTTAAAATATCAGGTTTCTGTGATGTAAAAAAAATGAGACAAAGATAAATAATTTCAAAACTTTTTCCTGCTTTAATGTAACCTGTAAACTGTACAACTCAGTTGAACAACAAACTGAAATCTTTTATGTGGAGGGAAGTAAATAAAAACCTAAAATAATATGGTTGCATACGTGTGCACACCCTTAAACTAATACTTTGTTGAAGCACCTTTTGATTTTATTACAGCACTCAGTCTTTTTGGGTATGAGTCTATCAGCATGGCATATCTTGACTTGGCAATATTTGCCCACGCTTCCTTGCAAAAACACTCCAAATCTGTCAGATTGCGAGGGCATCTCCTGCGCACAGCCCTCTTCAGATCACCCCACAGATTTTCAATCGGATTCAGGTCTGGGCTCTGGCTGGGCCATTCCAAAATTTGAATCTTCTTCTGGTGAAGCCATTCCTTTGTTGATTTGGATGTATGCTTTGGGTTGTTGTGCCAATATTGACTGGTATTTGGAACTGTTCATAATTCCCTCTACCTTGACTAAGGCCCCAGTTCCAGCTGAAGAAAAACAGCCCCAAAGCATGATGCTGCCACCATTATGTTCCACTGTGGGTATGGTGTTCTTTTGGTGATGTGCAGTGTTGTTTTTACGCCAAACATATCTCTTGGAATTATGGCCAAAAAGTTCAACCTTGGTTTCATCAGACCAGAACACATTTTCCCACACGCTTTTGGGAGACTTCAGATGTGTTTTTGCAAAATTTAGCCGGGCTTGGATGAAGAAAAGTCTTCTGTCTTGCCACTCTACCACATAGCCCAGACATATATAGAATACAAGAGATTGTTGTCACACACAGCCAGTACTTGCCAGATATTCTTGCAGCTCTTTTAATGTTGCTGTAGGCCTCTTGGCAGCCTCCCAGACCAGTTTTTTTTCAAATTTTTTCATCAATGTTGGGACATCCAGTTCTTGGTAATGTCACTGTTGTGCCATATTTTCTCCACTTGATGATGACTGTCTTCACTGTGTTCCATGGTATATCTAATGCCTTGGAAATTCTTTTGTACCCTTCTCCTGACTGATGCCTTTTAACAATGATATCCCTCTGAAGCTTTGGAAACTCTCTGCGAACCATGGCTTTTGCTGTAGGATGCGACTAAGAAAATGTCAGGAAAGACCTACTAGAACAGCTGAACTTCATTTGGAGTTAATCAGAGGCACTTTAAATGATGGCAGGTGTGTACAAACTCCTATTTAACATGATTTTGAATGCAATTGCTTATTTCTGAAGAGAGCTACATCCCCCCAGTTATAAGAGGGTGTGCACACTTCTGCAACCACATTATTTTATTTTTTTATGTTTACTTCCCCCCTAAAAGATTTGTTTGTTTTTCAATTGAGTTATACAGTTTATAGGTTACATTAAAGGTGGAAAAAGTTCTGAAATGATTCATCTTTGTCTAATTTTTTTACATCACAGAGACCTGACATTTTAACAGGGGTGTGTAGAATTTTTAGGCCATCTATGTACTTCTTGCAGCGTTGCCAAAAATCTCCGATAGATCACATCATCCTGTTCTGGCTTGTTGCTAGGACATTGCAAAGAATATGTACCGTATTTGCCGGCGTATAAGACGACTTTTCAACCCGTGAAAATCTTCTGAAAAGTCGGGGGTCGTCTTATACGCCGGTATACGGCGAGCCGGTGTCAGGGCGGCACTTTTTCCAGGGGTGGTGTCCTCCAACGGACACTAATTACAGGGGTGGGCAGAGGGGCTGCTGTACCTTACCTGGCTCCGGTCCCGGTCCCACGACGATCCGGTCCAGGAAGCGCAGCTGCTCCTTCTTTCGGTTCGGCCGCTCGATGGTCGCGCGGCTGCTCGGCTCCGCCTCCTCACCAGTGATTGGGCGCCAGCGCACACAGGCGACCAATCACCGGCGAGGAGCCGCGAAAATCAAGCTGCCGAACTGAAAGAAGGAGCAGCCGCTCCTTTCCCCCACTGACACTAACCATGGGGCACTATTCCTCCTCCACTGACACCAACGATGGGGCACTATTCCTTCTCCCCACTGACACCAATGATGGGGCACTATTCTCCCCACTGACACCAATGATGGGGCACTATTCCTCCCACTGACACCAATGATGGGGCGCTATTCCTCCCACTGACACCAATGATGGGGCACTATTCCTCCCACTGACACCAATGATGGGGCGCTATTCCTCCCACTGACACCAATGATGGGGCGCTATTCCTTCCACTGATACCAATGATGGGGCGCTATTCTCCCCACTGACACCAATGATGGGGCGCAATTCCTCCCACTGACACCAATGATGGGGCACTATTCCTCCCACTGACACCAATGATGGGGCGCAATTCCTGCCACTGACACCAATGATGGGGCGCTATTCCTCCCACTGACACCAATGATGGGGTGCTATTCCTCCCACTGACACTAATGATGGAGCGCTATTCCTCCCACTGACACCAATGATGGGGCACGATTCTTCCCACTGACACCAATGATGGGGCACGATTCTTCCCACTGACACCAATGATGGGGCACTATTCCTCCCACTGACTAATGATGGGGCACTATTCCTCCCACTGACACTAATGATGGGACACTATTCCTCACACACTGACACTACTGATGGGGCACCATCATTGGTGTCAGTGGGAGGAATAGTGTCCCATCGGTATCAGTGGGAGGAATAGTGCCCCATCATTGGTGTCAGTGGATGAAATAGTGCCCCATCATTAGTGTCAGTGGGAGGAGTAGTGCCTCATCATTGGTATCGGGAGGAATCATGCCCCATCATTGGTGTCAGTGGGAGGAATAGCACCCCATCATTGGAATACCATACTGAAATACCATACCATATTGAAATCAAATCTGATGTTTTTTTCATTTTTATTTGGTATGCGTTGGAAGAGGGGTAGTCTTATACGGTGAGTATAGCTCAAACCCTATATTTTAACAGGAAAAGTAGGGGGTCGTCTTATACGCCGGCAAATACGGTACATAAATTAACAAATTACAACAGACTTAAGGCCTTACAGGATAATTACAAATTGGAACATCCTAGCTGATCAGGATCAAATTATAAACAAAACAAAAACAATACAAATAACAGTAGAACCAAGACAATGGACATTTCAGTGTGTCATTGGTGCCTCTCTGACTGAAGTTGCCAATTTATTTGCCATGGCGTGAGGTACAGTATCAAAGGTTAGGATGACATATACGGTTTCTGGGAAATCGTCATTTGATCAGCATAAGCACGGTCGACCTGATCAGCTGACCAAAAGAGACAAAAGGACATTGGCCATGATTGTGACCCAGAATAAGAAAACAACTGCTGCAAAAGTGACTGAAGAGCTCAATCTCAGTCCTGTGAAGACTAAAGGCTGCAAAAAAGTGAAGTCCTATCCTGCTGAAGGGCTCTATGAAATGCCCGGCCTTATTGAACCCATTTTGCAATAGTCGGTCCCTTAATTGGTTTGCTTGGGCTTGAAAATCTGTGTCCAAAGTTCAGTTGCGGTGCAATCTGGCATATTGGGCATACTGGATGCTTTTAATCAGTGCCTCTTGATGTGTACTGGAAGCAGGGCGCTGTTAGAAATCATGGGGCCCCATACAGCCTACCTTATGGGGGCCCTGACCCCACTCCCAACCCCGCCCATCCATCAGGGCTGCTTTGTGCAAAACCATTACACAGAACAGGTAAGTATAATATGTTGTTTTAGCCTGGATTCACACTGATGCGGTGCGGAATTTGCACCGGTTTCTGTTCGCACCCCATTCATGCGAACTGCAGTGGGTGTGTATGTTAAGTTAACGACACCTCAAAATCAGTTCACAAAATGCGGTGCGATGTGAAGAATCGGATTGCATGGGTGTGAATACCCATGCAATCCAATTCTAGTGTAGACAAAAAAAGAGTCATGCACTATTTTCCTGCAGATGCGGTGTGATCTGAGGTATACAAAATGTATAGCTCAAATTGCACCACACAATTTGCATGTGATTTGCACAGGAATGCGATACGGTGCCGTTCCTGTGTGAATCATATGCGATGTGCTGCATCGCAGAAGTGTGAACCCAGGCTTAATTAAAAAAAAAAAACAAAACTTTTCAATTACTTTAAGACACTTCTTAACTGTAAAGTCATTTTCATTTTTTGTGGTTTTCTTCCATCAACAAATATGACATTTTCCTGCTCCTGTAGTCTCCTGGGATGTAAACCCATCACATATCCCAGGAGACTGCAGGAGTCCCTGCCTGGAGAACACATTGATTACTGTTAGTGGCTATACTAGCTGCTAGTAATAATCACATGTAAAATCCGACAGGCTGGTTGTACACAAGCCATTCAATAATTGACTTGGGTCCAATAAGTCTGCCCATACATGGTTCAAATCTCGGCTGGTCCCTGCTGAACTGGTCGAGATTTAAACCATCTGTGGCTTACATTTCACTATCCTTCCATCAATGATCGTCGTCATTATCATCATGATAATCACACAGTGCTGGGGCTCAAAGCACCTGTACTGTGTGAGTGTGACTGCCATCATGACGATAATCACATGTGGCTGCTCCTGCTGTATAGTTAAAGGCAGGCCTAGGGAAATGTGTGTGCTGTCAAGTCATGAGACACAATCTGTCCTGTGACTTCTGCCAGAGGCTCAGAGCCACCCATCCCTCTGTGTCTGCACTGCTGGGCTGCCTGCTGAGTGGACCTGCACACTGATCCCTTCTAGTTCCAGCCAGCTGCCCCCAGCCTGCCAGTGCTCTTCTGTATGATTTCCTCAGCACTTCCTTGCTGGAGGAGTCAGGCAGCGTGCAAGGCAAGCCCAATCACTCTGCAAGCCAGTAGTGGGGGGCTTACTGCATCCCATCACAGGATAGTGTATACATACACCCGAAAAAGAAAAAAAAGTGTCACAGCTGCAATATCATTGGAAATTCAATTGGTGATTGAAGGGTATAAATACCCTCCTCAATATGGCGGATTTTGTACTTCCTGAGGATGATTTATTGGTCGAAACTAGTCAAGGGCTTATGACACAACTTCTGCTGATGTCACTTCCGGGATTTGGAACACATGCTGGAATGCAGCTGCCATCTTAATTCCCATTCATAATATACAACGCTGAATGCACCTAGTGCCAGGAAAGGCACTTTTGTTGTGAGTGGCATTTCTATTGTTTGACCCCATATTAAAGTTTTATACAGTTTTACACTATGGGATGTCTGGTTTTGTTTTGATTTATGCTGAAAATATTAAATACTGCCTGTGGTAAAGAAGAGTTGCCTAACTTTGATGCAGATCCAGTGGAAATCTATTGGTTCCTACCAGCAGCCACGATTATAAGGGCGAAGGAATATCTGCCATCAGGACTGGATTGCAGACTGGGATAGTCCCAAAAAGCGACGGTAACTTACCTAGAGATAGGTGGTCATGAAATGACGGTGATTTTACATCTATGTGGGGCACCAGTGTGAACACAGTGAAGCACTTGTCATTTCAATATAGAGTATCACCGTTAAAGATACAGCACCATTGCACCATTTATTCACATGTTGGGACTGAATATTAATATTGTATTTGTATTTTGCTCAGCACTATCACTTTAAAGATTGCAAAGTTTATTTTGTCTATTTGTGACCTTAGCGCGGTCCATTTTTTAAATCTATCATCCCAGTCAAACCACTCAAAGTCCAGCGACGTACCAGTACATTGCTGGTCCAAGTTGGGCATATATGTAGCAGCAGAGAACACAGGCAGACAATGAATTGGCTCTGTGGATCAATATGACTATCAATTCATTCTTTTTTGTAATGCCCATGTTGAGGGTCAGGCCCAAAATAGTTTTAAATTCAGAAACCGTGATAAGTTTCCATGGGAATTGTCTGACAAGAGCTGAATTTGGGTGGACGGTGATGTATTGTGCATATAAATTGCCTTGGCCCACAATCAATTGATACAAATCTTCCGTGAAAAACCGCGGATGGGCTAAACGCTAGTGCTGGCAGCGAACAGGGCCAATCCTGCTAACTCTGCATTTTGGGGGACACTATACAAAGGAGACACTAGTATAGTTCTGTACGTGATCAATATCTTGTCCGTACAAACACTATACTAGTAATGGCGATGATCAGAGACCTATAGCGTGAGTGTGATAGTGTTCGGGCAATCTAACGCTAGCTGACCGTGACTGGGAGGGGAACTGACTGACCCTGACACTATCTGATGTCGTTAGGAATGCAGTGATCAGTGAAAAATGTTATGTACTGACACTGTACTAATGGCACTGGTTGGGTGACAGGGTGGTCATAGGGTTAATAGGGGTGATCAAAGGGTTAAATGTGCTAATCTAAAGTGTGTGCAAAATGTAGTGCCGTGTTCTCTCTTCTCTGCCTGGACCGATGGGTGGGGGGGGGCAGCGGGGGGTGCAGGTGCATTCACACCCCAAAATAGGAAGTGACACAATATTACGTTGCTTTGCCAAGAGCTGCTGCTTGCCCGCAAAATGCGGGTAAGCGGTTGGCAAGTAGTTAAATAGAAAAAAAAAAAAAACCCTCTGTTAGTACAGCCAGAGTGATGTACGGGTACTTTGCTTTGCCTGTAGCTGCCGCTCTGCCGCAGTATATTGTGGGCAGGCAGGTGGTCGGGAAGCGGTTAAGCAGCATGCAAAACCCTGTGAAGGATTATCTAGTCTGTTAATGAGCAGTCTCAGAGCTTTCCCAAGCTAGGCAACCCTGTTCAGACTTTTCAAAAATAGAAGACGCAGATAAACATGACGGTGTGATGAACATGAATGTAAATGGTTCACTCACCCTGTGAAGGGGTTATCTGTTCTAACAATGAGCAATCTTGTAGCCTTACCAGGAAACACAGCATCTTCAGATTCTCCAAAGGGGAAAAGACAGATGAACATGACAATGTGAATCTTGTTTTGTTCAACCAATCACCAATGAGGATGATGACACCCAACACGTCACATTCATTAAGTGGCCAGTGCACTGAAAGGGAGTTGTTTCCACTCACCCTGTGAAAGGGCTATATGTTCTGGAAATTAGAAGTCTCATAGCCGTGCCACGCAAGACAGCCTCTTCAGACTCTGTGAACAGGAAGATGCAGATGAGCATGACTGTATCTATCCTGCTGGTTTAAGCAGCCAGGGATATAGATGATGACACCTAACAGGAAGTCACATTCAATAAACGCATTGGCAATAAAATCTAAAGAAGTGGCTTCCACTTACCCTTTGAAAGGGTTTTCTGCTTTGGCAATGAGACGCAGCATAGCTTTCCCTGACGAAACAGCCGTCTTAATAGTTTCCAAAGAGGACAATGCGATTGGACATGACTGCATGAATATTGCTTTGTTCTAGCAAACCTATCAGGTTGTCACATGATGCTAGTACACTCTAAAGGAATGTTTCCACTCACACTGTGAAAGGGTTATCTGTTCTATCAATGCACAGTCTCCTAGCCTTCCAGGCAAACAATCCTCCTCAGAATCTTCCAAAAGAAGATTCAGGAGAACATGACTGTATGAGCCCTGCTGGTTCAAGCAACCAGGGATAAAGAAGTTGACACCTAACATTTTATCACATTCATTGACCATGTGGTTATAAATTCTAAAGGAGTTGCTCCCACTCATCTTGTGAAGGGGTTATATATTGTGCCAATTAACAGTCTCAGAACCTTCTCAGTCAAATCAACCCTTGCCAGATTCGTCCAAATAACATGTGAACGAACATGACTGTATGATTCCTGCTTTGTTTAAGTAGACAGTGATTAAGATGATGGTGACCAAGTTGTCACAATTAATTAAGCATGTGGTC